GGCGCGGTTCTGTGAGGGGGGAGCTGCTGAGGCCCTGCGGCCTGCTCATGCCCGGTGCTCCCGGGACCCCGCGGGCCTGGGCTGTCCCGACCCTGGCCTGAGAAAGGGCTGCTGCGCGGCTGTGTTAGGTAGCTTAGGTAAGGGAATGGGCCAGCAGGGCTTGTTGGTGGGGTTTGCAGGCAGGCTGAGTAACTGTAACCTTACTGAAATCAGTGAGCGCCTGGTGATGGGGGCCCTGAGCGAGGGGGGATCGAGAATTGCGGTGTGCTGGCCTCTGCTCGTCCACTGAATTTGACAAAGGTTTTGCTATGATGGCCTGAGCGAGCAAGTAGTGCCTTGAGTAGTGCCGAAAGGATTTTTAATATTTATTATTTCCCTTTTAGGACATACTCTTTAATTCTTCATGCCACAAGAGACAGTACTGTTTGTGACTGCTCAGGAGGTACAAATGCTGCCTGCCTGTCATCACCCTCTTAGATAATATATATAGCAATTGGGCCAGGGCCTGCCATTCCTTGCTGGGGAACTTTTCTGGGCTGCCACTGATCCTCATGGAGCTTAGATGATCCTGGTCGTCTTTGAAATTTCTTTCTTTCTCTCAGAGTTGATTGAAAATGGCCTGAAGACTTGAAAATAGTTAGGGGATTTCAGAGACAGAAGGTGCAGTTGCATAAGCCTTGTTTCCTTTGTGAACCGAGCTGAACTTTGCTCTTTTTTACTAACACAAAGCAAGTCTTTTAGCACTTACAACAATATTATAAATACAACAGTACAGTTTGGTATGAAAGTACACATGTAGAAGTAGAATCTATATAAGAAATAGAAATTTAAGTAATGGTTTAAAGCGGTTTTAGCGAAACTTTTTATTATGTTGCACCTATGCCTACTGCTACTGCAGACTGGCACAACTCTTTAATTATTTATTCCTGATGATCCCTTTTACAGTGTTAGGAAGGGACCTTTCAAGTTTCATCCTTAAACTTTTTCAGCTTTACCCACATCTTGCTGGAAAACAGCAGTAAATACAAAGCTGTTGCAGCCCTTCAGGAAAAAAAAAAAAAAAAAAAGGAAGATTCTAGTGGAGTAATACTTTAAAAGCCAAAGTGCTGTTTGGGTTTGCAATAACAGTCCCCAGGTTACTGAATCTGATCATGAATAGCATGGAGTGAAAACATCTGACAGGTTCCTCTGCCTGTCATGCTCTTTATCCTTCACTAGTTGTTTCTGTCACTGTCTTAGTCTTAAAAATAGCGTGAGTTATCGCCACAGTCTTCTGGCACGTTCAGACATCCCTGCAGCTTGTTACAGTCAAGGCTGAGGTGACAATGCAATCCTGAAAGTGTTTCAAAACACGTTGCTCTTACAGCTTGTTTACAATTGTTGGGTTGGGTTTTTTAACTTGACCAACATTGCATTATCTGGAACAGCTTGTTTACATTAGCCTCTGTAAATCATCCTAAAAGTCATTTACCTAATTTTGTACTTAAAAGTAGCTTGCAGCATGGCATCCTTGGAAATAACAAGTTCCAAATAATTGCGCCTATCTGTATTATCAAAAGTTCAACAGATACTTAGAGAAACAAAGTGGGTTATTGTCCTGGTTCAGCTGGGACAGGATCCCAGCCCAGCCATGCTGGCAGGCCGTTAGCAGTTCCAGTCAGCCAGGGCAGCTGACC